AGGACGAAGACAACCTCAGCCAGACAGTGGGTGTGAGGAGTCGTGTTGGCAGTACGGACCCCTGATGAGAGATGAAGAAAAACCCCAGGAAAGATTGTGAGAAAACCATCATACAAATGCAAGGTCACCTGCCTGTCCTTCCTACAGCTGTCAAGGTCATCAAAAAGAAGAAAGGTGTGAGCAGCTGTCAGTGCAGAAGAGCGACAGTGGCACGATGACTAATGGCTGTGGTGCTGGAAACCTGAACAAGGAAGAGGGTGTTGGGGGAGCCTAAGAAGTAGCAGCTTTGGTTGATAACATGTCAGTGTAGTTTGTTATTGGTGACAAGTGCTCCATAGTAACCGTGGTGGTTAATCTGGACTGTCAACTATATTGGGTCAAGAAGCTCCTGGGAGATTAGTAAAGCACTCCCTGGGTGTGTCTCTGAGGGCGTTTCCAGAGAGGATAACCACGGCAGAAAGACTCTCCCCAGTGTGGGCAGTACCTTCCCCAGCCTGGGGGCCGAGTGGGAAAGGAAAGGGGGAAGAGGAAGAAGCCCCTAGGGCAGGCTGCCCCACATGATGGCCCGCCTCACCACAGGCCCAGAAGCATGGAACCAGAAACGGAGGCGAGATAAATCCTTTTCTTTACATTGTTTTCTCACAGCAGTGAAAAGTCTGACACTGTCGTGACATATGTTCAATGTAGAGAAACCTGGTGTGTGTTGTATCTTTTCAACTTTTGTATAAATTAAAATGTTAGTCTAAATAGTTTTGGAATCAAGAGGGGAAATAAGATGGTATGCTAAAAATTATGCCTACCAAGACTTACACATTTTCAAATATTCTGAAAGCTTGGACATTCCTGCTTTATAGTATTTAAAATTTTTATTTTATGTATTCATACAGTGATACGGACATCCATGCTATTGTATATGTCTTTCATGAAAAGTCTTGATTTAATTACTAGGGGACAATTTAAAGTTTCCTTTCTGGGAGGAGGATTTTACTACTGTGAGCTTCCCTCTTGGTTTCATACATTTGGATGTCAGGAACACAGATTCAGTAGGCAGTTTGTGACTAAACATTGGTCAGGTGTATACAAGGCTGCCCTCATCTTTGACGGGTGCATCTGCACAGATCCACAGGGAACAGGCTACAGGGAAACCAAATAATCGCAGTGCAGGTCTGCAGAAGTGGTTCACAGTTCTCTGTGCAAACTGTTTCACTTCTCCCCTGGTAGGACTCCCTTTCTCAGATAGATAAATGTCTCTGGGGACAATGGCAGCATGCTGACTTCATCCACCCTTGCATTCATTCCAGCTCATCTGGGGCCCCATGAGCTCCACACTGGTCCTTGGTAGCAGCAGGATGTCCCTCCTCTGCTAGTTGTGCTGTCTGTGAGGACTGCAGCCTGGCCTCTGGCACAGTGGAAGCTGTGGGGGGCAGATGCTGTTGGTGCCAGACCCACATTCTCTTGGTCTAACCCATGTTCTCCATTTCAGCATCTCTGCCTGGGGATATTTGGCAGCTAGGCTTTAGGGCAGAAAAGCCAGAGGTAATGTCCAGTAAAAAATCCTTCACCTCAGAAGGGGAGGAGGCCAGTCTGAGTTCTGTACCGCAGCCTCTCTCAGCTTCCTCCCTCCCACCTTCACCTCCAGTGGCATCACACTAGAAACCTGCTTCCATGGGCACCCGCTTGAGTTTTTGCCTTCCCTGTCTCGTTTCCCCCTTGTCTTGGAGTCAGCTTTGGGAGGAACCACGCTAAGATAATATGCAATAAATATCTGTGGATTTAATTCATGGGTAAGGTGGGTTAGTTTCTGATTGTTCAAAGAAATTTATCATCCAAGAAGGAAAAGAATGTTAGAATACACACAACTACTAACAAAATACAAGACAATAATTGTTGAAAATATAGGCAAAACTCATTCAGAAGCCAGGTGCAGTGGCTCACACCTAATCCAGGAGATAGAAATTGGGAGGATCACACAGTTCAAGGCCAGCCCAGGCAAAAAGTTCTCAAGATCCCATTTCAATCAATAAAAGTGGAGTGGTGATAAATGCCTGACATCTCTGCCACACGGGAAATGTAAATAGGAGGATCTCAGTTCAGACTGGCCCAGGCATAAATGTGAGACCCTGTTTGAAAAATAATTAAAAGTCAAAAGGGCTGGTGGCAGGGCTCAGTGGCAGAGTGCCTCCTTAACAAGTGCAAAGCCCGAGTTCAAAACCCCAGTGTTGCCAAAAAAAAAAAAAAATCGGAGGAAGAGGTCAATATAGATTTTCTTCCCTGCCCTGTTAAAGGAAGGCTCGTTGCCCCTTCTGTGTGCAGGATTTGCAGTGCAGACACTTTGGGGACAGAGGACAGGGCCTTGTGTTCTCCCATGTTTGTGTACCCAGGGTGGCCTTGCTCACAGGAGGCATCAGATGGTTCAGTGAGTGAGTGAGTGAAGTGGCAGTGTTTAATGACAAGAGATGTTGGACCCGCAGAGCTAGCTTTCAGTCGCACTTTGATCACTTCCTAACTTTGGGCAAGTAACTTAGCTTGCCCTGCCCTCAGGAGAGGAAGAAAGGCCTGTTCTTCCAGGTTGTTTCATAAATTAAATGAGGTGATGTGTTGCAATACCTGGTCCATGGTGAGCACTGGGAGGTTGACTTTTGTGGGAAAAGATGGCATGTAGGCTGGGTTGAACTGGAGCAGGAAAATATAGAGAACATTAAAGCAAAATGAACAGGTGCAGGATGGTGAGACTGATGACAAGGAACCTAGCAGGGCCTGCACAGGGCATGGCAGGGAGGTTTGTGAGCGCCACACTCACACCTCTGGACTTTACTGCACAGCAGGAGGGGACACGCCACAGAGGGATCTGTCCAGGGGGTGGCTGGAATGATGGCACTCTGCGTTAGGAACTGGCGTGCCCAGAGGAGAGGTCACAATTGAGAACAGCTGTGGGAGTGGCCCACAGAATTTGTCATGAAATTAGGAAACCAGTTGGCGTACATTCCCACGGTAAGAAACAGAAAAAGTGACGAGGCTCCTTTCCACAGTGAAGGACTTTACCATACTACCTGACGCTGAAAACTGAGTATGCCACAGTGCTTTTGATTTCTTCATTTACTAAGTGGTCTGAATCTTCCGAAGTCCCCAGTAGTTGTGGGTTGGATGGAGCTGCCAAAGACATCTTGGGGAGAGGCTAGGTTAGGAGGGAGTGGATTGAGGCAGAACAGGGAAGACTGGTCATTGCAGGCCAGGGAAGGAGGAGGCATCCTGGCTAAGGTCACAGTCCTGGAACTTACGAGCTTCAGGTTCAGTTCTGGCTACACACCTACCAGTCATGCCCTTGATCTGAGGGCAAATGGAGTTCACTGGGCTGGGATGGGAAAAAGTGTCCCATCCTAAAATTGTTTTAAATTTACATGTTTTGTGGCTATGATTCATTTGTGTTGCATTAAACTAGATTTGTGTATTTATGTAGAGATTATATGGACAAGACTTCTGTTTATTACTTTTTTGCTCTTTGAGCTATATTATAATATTTTTGTGCATTGGATTGTTGTCTTGATTTGGTCAAAATTTGGATATGTATGAATTACTTGAATATAATTTTTAATAATTAATTTTGTTGATAGATTTATATTGTAACCTTTTATAGTTTTTGAATAAATATAGCCTGCCTTCCTTAGACACATTTGTTCAGGAAATATACATTTTCCTGTTATTCTCATCAGAAAAGAAACATTTGAATATAGTCTTCAAATTCTTTCATATTATGTGGCTTTTATTTTACTATTTTGTTGTAAGCCTGTTTCATAGTGGAGGTTTTGTGAATAAGATAGTTGTAATATCTAAAATCACCATCTGTGTGGCAGAATTTTAATTCTTTTCAGAATTATTTGATGTAGTCTTAAAGAGCTTTTGCAGATGATAAAAAGTGGAACAACTAGAATGTAGTATTTTGAGTTCTAGAAGGTACCTAAACAGAGACCTAAATAAAGAAATAACTTTCAACTTAAAAAAAAATAATAATAATGATAAATAAATTTACATGTTTTTGTTGCAAGTCTATAGAAATACCGTAGCTTTGTTTTTGTTTATTGGCTCTATATTTGTGACCTCGCTAAACTCATTCTTTTTGGATCTGGGAACTTCTCCTAGATTCTTTGCTATTTTCTATGTAGAAAATTATCTCGTGTGAACAAAGGCTGTTTTGCTTTTTTCCCTTTCAGCCTGTAGGCCTTTCATTTTTTTCTTGCCTTATTGCACCAGAGGGAACTTCTGGTGCTGTGTTGAACAGAATTAGTAAAGAGTGAGTGTCCTTGTCTTGTCCTCGATCCTACAGAGACGCCATTGCTTATTTTCCCAGTAAGGTGTTAGTGATAGTTTGGGCTTTTTTGTTTTGTTTTGCTTTGTTTTGTTTTTTGCAGTTTCATGCACTGTTTTGGACTTTTCATTTCAAACATCATTTGGGAACCAGTGCACAAAAATAAAACTGAAAACCAAAGCAAGTGCAAAGAAAACTTTGTATCAATCCCTGTTCTTATACAGCAGCAGTTTGCACATCAAAGAAAGCTCATGTATTGTCACATTTTTTCTTAGCTGACAAGCAGTAAAGAATCCCTTAAAAAGGAAAACAAGTATATATATCAAATTGTTTTCTCATCTATATAAACAGGAAACAGTGCACTTAATGGTGAAATTCTGCCCAGAAATGATAAAGAGATTATCCTGTGAACAGGTACAAAGTATCATTCCTGCTTTCTTTTGTTTGAAATCTTATATAGCTGCATGCTGACAAGAGCATACCATACCACAGAAGAGATGAATGACCTTTCAATAACTTGAGGTGTACTCTTCACGGAAGAGCAACACCTCGTCGGTAGGTCAGTGTTTCACAAGTGTAGTGTCACATATGTATTTTAACCCTTTGTAAAATGTTAGCCTTTTTTTTTGTACATGGCTTTTCATCAGTTGAGGGAGTTGTTTTATTATTACTGATAAGTTGTTCTTTTTTTTAGCAGAAGACTCAGAAAGTGGTGTTTATATGCGATTCATGAGGTCACACAAGTGTTACGACATCGTTCCAACCAGTTCAAAGCTTGTTGTCTTTGATACTACATTACAAGTAAGTATTTCCAATTTCATGAACTTTCAGTATGTTGTTTGGACAGCTACTTGATGTGGTAATTTAAATCCAGCAGTGCCAGAAACATGTTCTGTGACTTTGCCAAATGTCACCCACTTTGCTGCCGTTTTCTCTCTAAATTCTTAAAACTCCTTGTCAACCTTATAAGGTTTGTGCCATTACTGTCCTCTAAGTACAGATAAAGAAACTCTGATTCTAGTTGAAGAACTTAAATCACAAAACTTAGTCTGCAAATCCTCAAGTTAAGGACTTTATCCACAGAGCTGGCATGAGATGGAATCTGGAATTTAAGCTCGGGCCTTTCCACATAAGTTCAGAGCCAAAGTTTGTGTTCACCAGGCTGCCCGCCTCCCTTGGGAAGCCTAATAGTCTTTCTTGGTTGTTTAATAAGATGTATGGTAAATATTTGAAATAATATAGTTAAAAAGAAGATACTAAGGTAGATAATCTCTTGAGAAAACTTCATTGATCTATTTTTAGCAGAAAATTTGGACCTGATCATTTTGCTATTAAAATTGTCCTTACTGGGGCTGGGGGCATGGCTAGTAAGTATGAGGCCCTGAGTTCAAACCCCAGTACCACCAAAAATAAATTGTGCCTATTGTAGTTCACTTTCAGTCAATATGACTTAGAATCACGTGTGAAAAGTCCTAAATCATACACAAATGTAAGGATCAAATGACCTTTAGGGTAGTGAAGTAGGTGTGTATACGTATGCATTTAGATTTAAATTTCTATATAAATCGTCACCAAATAGGATTGTCTTCATTTGTGTTCCCCAGAAGTATACACTGAGCCAGGAACTTGTGGGCAGGTGGTTTATAAAGGATGAGCTCCCAGAAGCTACAGGAAGCCCAGCAAGGGTGTGATTTCACCAGAGACCTGCGGAGGGCAGCCTCAGCCTGTGTCCTGATGGCCCCTGGCTTCCTCTTGCTTTCTTCTGCCCTAGCTGATCCGTCCAGAACTGTTCTGGGAGATTCCTCCCTGGCTCCTCCAGCTCAGCCCTGGCCCTGCAGCTCTTCACTTCCCTGGATCCCTCCCCCCGCTGTAGGCTGCCTTTGCTCCCACTCGAGCACACACAGCCCATCTTCAGAGGACCCCCAGGCCCTTGGAGCCACTTTGCCTCTTCTCTGTGATGCCATTTGGCACTGACAGGAAACAAGAAATGGATTTGTTTTTGTATAATTTCACTTTCTAACTGTTTCTTGTAAACATGGGAATTCAATTGATTTTTTGGTAAGGTGGCTTTATGTTCAATGACTAGGTAGATTCCCTTTGAACCAGGGAAACTCCAAGGTCCCTTTTCAAACCCAAGATTCTCTGATTTTTTTGACACAGAGAGGACTGAAAGCATCCCAATATAATACTACAGTAGAGACAGTGATAGTCATTTTAAGAAAGGTGGTTGCAGTCTGGGGCATGACTCAAGTGATAAAGCACCTGCCTAGCAAGTGTAAGGCCCTGAGTTCAACCCCCAGTAGTGCCAAGAGGTGGTTGTTATGTCTGCTACTATAAATTTCAGTAGTTAAGCCAGGCACATCTGTAATCCTAGTAGTTGGGAGAACCACGGTTCAAAGCCAGCCTGGGCAAATAGTTCCCAAGACCCCATTTCCAAAAAATAACCAGAGCAAAAAATTTTTAATAGTTAAATAGCTAGATATCCTGAATGCCCAAAATAAATGACTGGCTTAACCCATTTCATGCTCACTCCTATCCCTCAAATGGTATCCTTGTGGAGGTGGCAGATCTCCCGCCCCCCCTTGCCATTTCTGTGAACACAAACAAGTAACGGTTGACTTTTGCCTGACTTTTCCCTTGCCATGCAATTGACCTTCTTTGGAATTAAGAACTTAAGCAGGATGAGTAATACATTAAAAATGTTAGAGGGCACTGTAAATATCATTTCTGTAATTAACATCAGCTATGCTTCCTTTCCTGGAAGTTATTTCACCTGCAAGTCTCTTATCATGGAAATAGGGAGAACATTAGCATTGCTTAAAGCAATGCACAATGCAAACGTATGTTTGAGGATTTGGGCATTTTGTAGACACATACTGCAGCGTGGGTCATTGGCACACCCTCGAGAGCTAAGAAAACAGACAGGGAGGGTTGCACGGGGACACAGAGCCAGAACAACCTGATATCCATCACCAAAAGAGCGCTTGCATAAATTCTGGAATAGGCCTATCAAAGACTACCATGTAGCCATTAGGAAAAATGAAAATATGTTTGCCAAGAATATTTTTTAATTAAAAAACAGTAGACTACGGGACAGTATATATAATTACCACGTTACTTGGAGAGTCTGAAGTCTCAACCCCAGCTGATCTGGAGACTGAAGTCAGCCATTTGCAAGGAAGAAGGAAAAGGAGACACTCAGAGATCATAGGATAGAATATCACCTCAGTAGAGAAGAGCAGAGGGTGCACTGCCCTGGTGGGAGGAAGGAAGAGCGCTCTGCGCACAGCTTTTTTTTTTTTTTTTTTTTTTGGTGGTGCTGAGGTTTGTACTCTGCGCCTCACACTTGGTGAGCAGGCACCGTACCACTTGAGCCATTCCATCAGCCCTTGCCCACAGCTTTTCTGTTTCCAGCTTCAGTCTCTTGTGAGGCCAACTCAGCCTTTATGATTGGGTTCCCTGAAATTCTCCTAAGTTTAATACTGGGATTAACTGAAGGATCAGTGGCAGTCTGATCTTCTGGCCATCTCACAGGGTTAAGGAAAAAGAAACCAAATGTGCCCACTGGGAGACTGTCATCACCACAGGTCTCTAGAGCCCATTTGCAATTCTGTCACAGTCAGTGGTGAGAAGCATCGGCAGGCCAAGCCACTTTCCCTACCCAAGCTCCCAAGACTGGGAGTAGAGCGAGGGAGGACACCTCGGACACCTGTGTCAGCAGCACATTGTCGCGCGGGGTGGGGGAGAGGGCAAGTGCCATCTCGGCTGCCATGCATACCACACTTAGCCTGGGGGCCACAGTCAGGCTCAGGCTTCTGGTCACTCAGTATCCCATGGTTAGCTGCCCAGTTTCCGTTTCTCTTCCCAGGCCAAAGGGAAAAGTAGTTGGGGCATGTTCGTGTTGAGATGTCCCCCTGTGCAATTCCTCTTGATGGAGACTTCACGAAACATCCCTGGCCTGACCCTGCTGTGTAATCAGGTCCATGTGGAATAGCATCGGGGCTTGCTCCCCAGCCTGATCTTGCTCCAGTCCCCTTTTAGTCACTCAGTACGTGTGTCAGAGTACACACAAATGTGTACGTGATGCCTCCAGAAGTCCTACCCGGCGTTGGGTAGTGGCATGTGGTGTCCTTCCAGCACTTTCCCCAGGGATGTTCCACACATTTTGTGTGCTAGCCCCATACAAAGAGGAAGTTCCAGAGGCTTCCTATTTGGCTCTTCCTCCTACACATTTCTTTGCGGGCCAGAGAGCCCATGGAGGGATTCTACTAACTGCAGAATCATACACGGGAATGGAGGAGATAACTAGAGCCTGGCTCTGCAATCCTGCCATGCCCCTGATGGCTGAAACTCGGGTTAAGATGCCATCTGGTCTGACTAGCAGACCAGAGTGGCATTTTGTGTTCTAGGAATTAGCAGCCATTTGGAACCAATGTCCAGTACCTCGGGACAGCCTACAGCTCTCTTTGTAAGTCTGCTGGGAGAGACATGGAGGAGACTACTGTGTATACGGCAGGGCTGCAGGTTGCTCCCTGGGACTGAGTCTGTGAGCTGGTCTGGGCTGGAAACTGGGTGAGAAGACAGGACTCTCCAGCGTGAAAACCCAAGTCGTGGTGTCGGCCCCTGCACTTAGTTTTTCTTGTCTTGTAGCTCAAGTAACATGTTAGAAGACCGAGTCTCTTTCATTCTTAGGGAGACTGCCACCAAAGATCCTGTGGCTTAGACCACTCTAATTACTACTCCTGGGTTGCTCTTGATGGGTACCTTCTTGGCACCAAGGACTGGCCCTCTGCTACCAGGGAATGTCGTTCCCACTCAAATCACTGAGGCTGTCCCAGGCATCAACTCCTGCTGTGTGCCTGGCCCATAGAGGGCAGCCAATGTGGAACCTGTCAGAGTGAAGGGACTCCCCTGCCTAGATCATGTGCTCCGCTAAGGCTCAGGGACGGAATGTCCTTGGAGTTGAGAGTGAAGGTTGCACCTCAAGAACCTGTGCGAGCGCTCCCGTCTCCCTGAGCCTATGGACTCCCTTTTTACCGTGCCACAGAAGTGCTGCCATTGCAGCCATTGAACATGCTGTGGATTTTAGTCAGTCAACCAACATGCAGTTACAGCCACTTCTGGCTGCATGGCATGCACCAAATTAAATGAACAATTTCTGTTAAGCCCATCAATAGCAATAAATTCTGCAAATCAGCGTCAACTTCCTTTTCTTTCACCTAACACTGTTGAAACCTGTCTCCAGTTACAGGGCAAGGGCTGGCTGGGGTTGTCTGGAGAGGAGTGAGTGACTGTGCATCATTTTGCCCAGGAAAGCCAGCCTCTGGGCTCTCGAGCAGAGAACAACCTGTGAGAATGTCAGCCATGTCTACTGCCATGGCAGACTGAGAATGAGTAACTCCGGGATTCAGGAATCCTGGTTTTGTCTGAGAGAATGATGGCTAATCTTGACTGTTAACGTGATTGGGTTGAGAAACACCTAGGAGATTGATAACGTACACTTTGGGGTGTTTCTGTGAGGGCATTTCCAGACATAATTAAATTAGATCAAGAGGGCTCCAACCTAGTGAATGGCTTAATCCATTTGGTGGTTTCAGAATTTGAATTCTACCATTGGGAGATGTTAGAGCCGTGGAACGTGGTTGAAGGAAATAGGTCTGGGGGAGGGGTGTCCTTGGGATCTGTCTCTTGCCCTGGCTCCTTCCTGTTACTCCTCCACTCTGCTTCCTGTCCAACATCAGGTGAACAGCCGGGCTCCATCACACCCTTCCCATCGTGGTGGACTGAAATCTCTGAAACTG